GTGATTTATTCTCTTTTTTTCCCATGATCTAAGATGGTTTCTTCTGCTCTTTCCATCAGATCCAAATGTTCCTTGCATTTAAAGATACGTTTCAGAAGTTTGCACACAATGCTTCTGCTTTCATTCCAATCACATGACCCCAATCTAAGGGCCAGGGAAATTGGGAAATGTAGTCTTTAGCTAATAGCCCATGTATTTGAGTCAATCTTGGGTGTTCTATTAAAAGAAGAATGAAAGAGTTGATATTGGGAGGAAACTTATAGTCTATACCATGTTGCCTCATGGCCTGTGTATTGGTAGAAGTTGTAAAGATTTTAGAAAATTGAAAGACTTCAATCTAGTATACTTGATGCTGGCGAACCAATTGGCCAATATTCATTTTAGGCATTTGAGGATTCTAATATGTCCTTCGTGGTGGTCATTGTTAGAAAGTGGAGGATGACTGGTATTGTCAGCTTGTTTGTCTAAGAAAAACCACAGTTGGATGACTTTGCAATATAAGAGACAGAGATTCACCTATTTTAAGAAGCTATGGAACCAGGTGTAAGTCTGGGACTGAGTCAGAGATGAAGTAGAATGACCTTCACAATGCTCTACTCAGAATCAGTCCTCTCTCTTGTGCAAGACAATTTAAATAGATGCAGTCTTCCATGAGAGAAAGTGTCTGAGCAACAGCAACTTGAAGGAATTGAGACATAATAATGGCTTCTGAATCAATCCCCAGTGCATTTCAACACTATCTTGAACCTCCAGAAAGAGTGTTTGTCCCATCAATGTTGCAAAATTGCCACCATGTGAGCATAGATATTAATTTTCCTAAAATGTTTCATATTCTAAATAATCAAGTTATTGTTTTAGTCCTAAAGACTCTTCAGGACAAGATTTGTCATATAAGGCTATAGAGAACACAAGCTAAAGATAATGTGAACATACTGTCCAAAGATGCCACAGGCTTTGGAGAATGAAAGAAATGAGTGAAATCTGGCACATCAGGAATTGATAAAGCAGGGAGAGAAAAGAGAGCTCTAAGTTCAGCTCAACTCTGTTTGGCTGTACTCTTCTAGGGAAGCACCTAGAATATGCAGAGAGAATGATTCTCAATGCAGAGTGACAGAAGAGTATAATCTTAGAACAACTTCAAAGGGAAATATAGTAGGACCATATGAAGCTGCATACAAAACGTAGAAAGCTTGATGTTTTAGGGGGAAAAAGGATGTTTTAGATTTACAACTCAGAACTAACTTTTGAGGAAGCTCTGGGGGCTTAGTGAGTTGCATTGCCAATCAAGAGGCAAGTGGTTTGAATCCACTAGCTGCAATCTCCTCCTGTGCAATTTACTGCCTCTGATAGCCCACTGGAGGGTCAACTGTAAACCAGTTCTGACTCAACGGTACACAACAACAACAACAAAAGAAGCCTACTCAGGAATGAGCCATAAGATCTTAGGCAACATTGTTGTTGTGTGCCATCGAGTTGCCTGCGACTCATAGTGACCCTATGCACAATAGCTCTGAACCCTGAAATATCCTGAGCCAGTTTCATTGTCTCTGACACACCTAATCCACACCAATCCCCTGTGTTGTTTACAGCCTCTGAAAAACTGCTGGAGGGTCAGCTATAAATCAGTTCTGACTCTGCAGCAACGGAAAACAATATATCCTTCATACTACATGTAGATACTGTCTTAAAATGTTATACATTACAAGTCTCAATATAATCTTAAATAGACCACTGCATGAGGAAGATGGGCAAGAATTGCTATGAATTAGAATCAAGTCAATGACAGTGAGCTTGGGGTTTGGTTTGTTGGGTTTTTTTGTTTGTTTGTTTTAGCTTGGATTTTTAAATTTTGAAAAGGGTCACTGTTTTATCAGATGACAATGGAAGATTGGCACAGAGCTCAGTAGGTAGCTTTAGAGCTGTAGTCACTAGTAGAAGACAAAGAAGTGACCTTGCAGATGGCAAGGTATACATTTACTCTGCAGGCTAAGTTTTCGTGGAGTGGCTAAAAAGCTCACTAATGTATGGTCCTCTGTCTAAGGTACATTCCACGGATGGATTATGGAAGCTTATCTTGCAGCCTAAGAAATAAAGTCCTTAAGCTCAGAGGACAATGTGCTGGGAGATAGAAGTAATGCTAGAACTAGAACTCTGGTGGCCCAGTGGGTAGTGAGTGATGCTCCTAGTCCAAAGGTGATTGATTTGAATTCAACAGGTGCTCTGAAGGAGAAAGACAGGAAATGTACTCTTGCATGGTTTACAGCCTCTGAAAACCCTCTGGGAAGTCAGCTATGAGTCAGTCCTGACTTGATGGCAATGAGGTCGGTTGTTTGTTTGTTTGTTTGTTTTTAATTAAAGTACTGCTGCTTGATCAACCTAATGTTGTTGTTGCTGTTTACTGTTGAGTCAGAATCAATTCATAGCTGACCTTCCAGCAGGTTTTCAGAGGCAGTTAAATTACACCAGAGGAGATTGTCCAACTTTTTCCCCTAGAGCGGCTGTTGGATTCAATGTGAAATCCTTTGGGTTGGCAATACAGCTCCCCAGCACTAAGCCACCAGAGTTCCTTTGTTCAATCGACTATGGCCAACAATATGTTTTTTTTAAAACTCTGACAAATGTACTGTATTCTTCCAGTGGAAAACAGTACCCATTAAGAAGCCTGGTCAGTGAGCTTTGGTGGCTTAGTGGTAAGGAGTTGTGCTGTCAACCCAAAGGCACGTAGTTTAGAACAGCAAGCAACAAATGCTGGCGAGGTTGTGGAGAAACTGGAACCCTGATTCACTGTTGGTGGGAGTGTAAAATGGTGCAA